GCCCCCAAGAGCTCCTGCCGGTAGGGCTGTTCCAGTGCTGGAGCATCTCTGGCAAGTGGATAACGGAGATGACGAGAGGGACAGGACACGCACAGAGGTCCGAGGCTATGTGGACACTCCACCTGGTTTTATTTGAATTACAAAGAAACTGAAAACGCACAGCAGTCACTAGTAATATCCTCTGATCTCGGGAGCATTGCTCCCCCATTTCCTCGGAGCACGTGAAGTTCCACGAGCCCTCTGCTCACCACACGCCAACGATGCTCAAATCCATATTATAAAATGGCACAGTATTTGCATATAATTCACATATATTCTCCTACAGGCTTTCTATCATCTCAAAATTGCTGGAAATACTTAATACAATGTAAAGTTATGTGAACAGACATCCCATGGTGTCACCTAGGGAATAATGAAAGTGAAAAAAAAATATCTGTGCCTGCTCCAAAGAGCTACAAATATTCTAGCCTAAAATTCAGTACATTGTTTTATCTGAGGTTGACTGCAGTCCCAGTTTGCATTGGGTGTCCGACTGCATTTCACTCTGAGATTTTTCAGATGCATAAGTTAGTATCCACAGAATTTCTGTTGGATGCTAACACTTCTTTCATTTTGCCTCTAAACACGTGCTGATTTAGCAGTGTGATCCATCTTGTTTCTCTTCCGTCTTCCCTATCTACCTTCCCTTCCAATGCATCTGAGAAGCAACATAAGGCAGTGTCAAAGACAGGATACAAAATGAAGAATTATTTAAGAAATTGAATAAAATGTGAGAAAGAACATCCCTTTGGGAAAGTAAGTATCTCTATACCACTGGCATGAGAAAAGGTGACTTCATTACCATCCCTCCCTTAGTGTAAGCATTCCTAGGCAACATACACAAAATGCTCAAGGAGTCTTGGTCAAAGAGAGCAGCATGGGCTTTCCTGCCTTGATTACATGTCACTAATTGCATGAGTCACGCATCTGAGACTGGTAGAGTCCATGGGCTTAGAGCTGTAACTCGGTGAATTCACCAACGAAAATGAGATGCTCATAAGAATACACCTGCAATTACAGAAAACATTACTGACTTACACATATGCGGATGAGGTGCCCACGTGCCAGGACAGGGCCTGTAACGCAGGACACTCCCTCACTGACAGTATATAAATGCTCCAGTCCAAGAGGTGACATTAAACCTCAGGATCTTCTCAGTGCAATTCAACTGAACCTACATCTCCTGTGAACATGTCCAACAACTGCTGCTCTAGAAACTTCTCCAGCTCTGAAAACTTCTACTCCACCTCCATTGGGGGCACTAGGAACTACCCTGCCTCCTCCTGTGGCTCTTCCTTCCCCAACATCGTGGTCTACAGCTCTGACGTGGCCTCTCCCAGCACCACCCAGCTGGGCTCTCCTCTCTCCATTGGCTGCCAGGAGACCTGCTGTGAGCCCTCCAGCTGCCGGGTGTCTCCTGTGGTGTCCAGCCCCTGCCAGGCTTCCTGCTTCCGCCCCAGGCCCTCTGCTTCCTGCAGCCAGTGCCTGCCTTCCTGCTCCCGCCCCAGGCCTTTCAGCTTCTGTGGGCTGTCCTGCTTCCGCCCCAGATCCCCCAGGCCCTGCGGGGTGTCCTGCTACCGTCCCAGACCCTCTGCTGCCTGCAGCCCCTGCGCGGTGCCCTGCTCCAGCCCCAAGCCCACTACTGTCTGTAGCCCCTGTGGCTTGGCTTACTCTGGAAATCAGGGCTGCGGCCCCAGCAGCAGCTGCTCCCAGGTGTATCAATCTAGTAGCTCCTACTCAGTGGGGTGTGGGCCCAGTAGCTTCAGGCCCCTGGCTTGTGGGGTCCCTGGGTTCCCCTCTCTGAGCCTCGGCTCTGGAGTCTGCCGCCCAGTCTCCCTGACTTCCGGCACCTGCCAGTCGCCTTGTTAAGCAACCACCTGTGGATCTGGCTTCTACTCACCTGTGGATCTGGCTTCCAATCATCATTTAATTATATGTCTACACTTATTATTCAATATCTTTATTGCCTTTCTTCATACGCTTTTCATCACCTACAGAAAGTGTTATCCTTTGTAATCTGATTACTGTACTCTCACCTTTTCTCTGGCCCCAAATACAAGCTGACAGATTTTATCTGAAAAATTCTATAATTAATTTAATAGCTTATAATAACATTGAAAACATTCTTGGACTTGGAAATTTGTAGTTCGATTTTTCCAAATTGAGAAGAGTTATTTCATTTTCATCTAATAAATTCATTGATGGTCATATACAGTGATTGCTTTTGTTGTTAATTTTCTTTTCTGACCTCCTCTGCTGCACACCCTGCAGGTCAACCTCTTTGGGTTGTGGGTCTAGTAGCTTGCTGTACTACTGATCCAGAAAACTCTACCTTCTAGGTCTGAACCTGTAGGTTCAGCTCCATGAGGTATGGAGACTGGATATTCTTCCCTGAGCTATGGATCCAGATTCTGGCTTCCAACCCACTTTGCTGGTAGGAGCTGTGAGTCACTGTGTTACACATCAGCTTGTGCATTTGGCTTCTATCACTCAACTTGTTGATGGTCACACTTTTTGAGCAATATGACCAAATATGTTCTGAACAGAGACTCAGTTATCTTAATGATGCTCTGGAGAAACTCTGTTATGAGCTCCTCACCTTCTATCTGCAACAAGATATTTGCCCCAAAACTGTTTTAACAGTTATTAACTTGATGTTTCATTCTATTGGATAAATTAGTGGAATTAACTAAATATATTAGCAAATCAATTGATGGAATTCATGCTAATAAACAATAAAAGGGTATTCCTGATTTAATGAGATTTTTCCATCCACTTTATTCAAAACATAGATGAAAACCCAAATGAATATGACCTGAAGAAATCATTCATTTGGTTTCCAGATATTTCTCTCATTTTACTATTAGTTTAAATTGGTAAGACTTGCTTTCATTGTGTGTGTGTGTGTTTTTTTTTGGGGGGGGAGGAGTTACATAGATTTAAATCACTATAATTTTCAAGGAGTTCTTTGGAAATTGAATTGATTGGTCCATTTGAATTAATTTACTTGGGAGTTTGAACATTCATTTCTTAAGCACTCCTGTTTTCCAGAAGTCTTACATTGTTTGGATAGACTCTGAGGAGGACAGAACACATTTCTTTCACAGATATGGTATCTTCATGTTTGGTCACAAAACTAAAGAAAAAATTAATTTGGAATATATAACTGAGCAGGAAAAAATTTTGGTTATATGGAAAGTTTTATACATTAACTAAAGTACCTTTCTTTGATTCACTCAGTGTTGGGTGGCAAATAGAATCTGATTGCATCATCTCACTTCTTATGTAATTTATGCATTTGAATGTGTAACCAGGAAGTCGGTTATCCTCCGTGAGAATCCACTAGACTCTTGTGATGTAATTTTACTTTCTTGTTTCCACGACTCAACCTAAGCATGATTGGTCAAAATGACTTTTTCAGACGTTCAAAAGTATTGTTTCATTCCTAGAGCTATACACTTTCAAAGATGTCTTGTTTTATGGTGTATGTTGCATCTCTCTTATTTCATAAGTCATATGTTTTAGGAAGAACAAAATAAAGTGTTATGGTAAGTAGCATGCTAATAATTGGAAGGCTAAAAAGGAAGACACTATATTTGTGAAAAGCAAAGAAAACTGTTCAAAAATGTTTCCTTCCCATTCATTTTCATAATTCTATAAGAATCATAAGAAATACATATTTAATAAACTCTATAATTTTATTTTACTTGCTTTATTTTACTCATAAGGGCTTGAAGACTCAAGGTCTTCATTCACTGTGAATGAAGGTCCACAGCAGGTTCTAGCCCAATAAGAAAACCAAGAAAACCAAAAATTGTATGGCACGTGGAGACTAAGAAGAGATGTGAGAGAGAATAAGGAGAAATTTGAATAAAACAAATTGAATGAACAAAACAGAGCAATATAAAGATACTGTGTTTAGGGAATCATTAAAAATCAAGTTACAATTGTTTGGTGTAACCATGGAATATCAGGTTAGATATATAGACATCTATTCATTTTTTGATATCTTGAGATTTAGAGTACATTAATCTTGGGATTCATCTCCTCCAATTCATACTATTAAAGCAGTTTTCTACAGTGTTACTTGGTCACATTTTCTTTTTTTTTAAGATTTTATTTATTTATGCATACAGAACTGGGGTATGCGGTGGGGGGGATGAGAGGATCCACTGGAGACAGAGTGGGAGCAGAACCGCACATCTACTGAAATACACGATGAAGAGAGCAGCGGGTGAGACAGGGAAGGTCTGCTGTGCCATGTGCTCACCTCCCTGGCCGGGGATTGAACTCGTGCTGCAGTGGCTGTGCATAGCTTCATTGTGCTGGGCTTTAACCCACTGTTTTACCAAGGAGGGCCCACAGTTTCTTAAATGACTAAATATTCTGAAATACTTTATAAACTTTTGGTCAAATGTTATATGAAATAATATTGTTTTATCTATTTTATATCAATGTATATTCATATCAGTACAAAATTTAATATAATACAATAAATAAATCTCTTGTATTCCAACTACAGAAAAAAAAAAAAAGACATAAACTGAACACTTAGCAGGCTTTCCAACTTCTGGAACAACAAACTCCTACTAGATATACTTCTCTGGCCTGACTATACACTTCATGTAAGAAACAAAGGTGATGCTAGTGGTTGATACTGCTGTTTCATGGACACTGGCAATCGACACGAACAACTACTTAAGGATGTGGAAAAGACAATATCACAACATCAATATAAGGAATCTTCTTTAAAGCCATGTGGATAGACTTAGGTCAGTAGGCATAAAGAGCAAAGATCTTTGTATCTTTTCATTTAAGATCAGGTTAATTGGGTTAAAACACTGAATAGAATTTAGAGCTATAGGAGCTTCCCTTCCAGTGTATGATACCACACCACACCCACCACCAAGGCACCCACAGTCCTCCACCTTAGTCCACTGGGACCCTCCACACTTTACTATTCTTTCTACTTCTCCTGGTGTTAGTGGCCTCAATGCTCTGTCAGATTTCTAGAGTACATTATTGGTTTAGTCTGACCCTTTGTTTTGTTTCTCTGTAGTCCACATTTAAGGGAAACCATACAGTGTTTGTCTTTCAAATTTTAACTTATCACTTAACATTATCCACCCAGTTCCATCCATGTTATCACAAATGACAAGAGTGTATAACTTTTTATTATAAGTGGGTAATATCCCATTGAACATAGGCATGTGTATATCACTTCAAATTACTGTTTCTTCATTACCTGGGTAGATAGATACCTATGAGTGGAATTGCAAGATCATATGGTAAACCCAATTTTCATATTTTGAGAAACCTCCGTACTACTTCCTGTATTGGCTGAACCAGTCTACATTCCCAGCAACAGTGTGAGGTCTTGTTTATTGGCACATCCTCACCAACCGTTGCTGTTTCCAGTCTTTGCAATATGGTCTATGCTTGCAGGAGTAGGCTGTAACTCTGAGCAAAGAGTGTATCACTGGGTGTTAGCTCACCTCTGTAAGAAGTTCTCACAATACTGGCAAGACGAGCAAGTGAAAACAGTGAACACAGAGGCTAGAAATGTCCCTCGAAGCATGAGGACTGTGGTGATGATGTATGGGTGAATTGAAGTAAACACTGTTTTCAAATGAACAATAATGTAAATGGGTATATAAATTAACAAGTTAAAAAAATAAAAAAGAAATCTCAGTAATCTTACCTGGAAGGATTATTGTCTCCAAAGAAAAAGAAAAAAAGACAATTGCCAAAGCAAAACTAATGTGTTAAAACAAAAACCTGATACAATGGCTGCTTCTTCTGAACGCTCCCTCTTTCTGTGTTTAGTTACAGAGGTTAATACTAAACTCCCACTATGGCCCTATTCCTTGAAACTAACTGGCCTCTTGGTTTCAAGACGTTGCTTTCTGCCCGGGCAGGAACAATGCTATCTCCCCAAACAGACAGATACATATCCAGAGTGTCTACCTCAGCAGCATTGTTATTCAGGAGCTGATGAAAGCTTGACCCAAACAAAGGTTACTATCACTCCACGTGTAGGTGTTTCTGAATAGTAGAAGGTTTCTCAATCAGTGTTCAGCCCTCTATTCTTGTTTTTAAATTTAATGTGTCCTTGAAGATATACTTGCCTTCCATCTAAGGAATTTCTGCATGTTTTTTAGCATAAATTTCTCTGAAATAATGAACCCATTGGAAAATGAACACTGAGTTCTAATAATATTCAAAAACAAGACAAAATAAAACAGGTGTTAAATGATATTGTATATAGTTGAAGGAATTTAACTTTGAAAATGCACAAAACTCACACTTAGCCTAAGCAGTGTTAAGCCTGAGATTTGAATGGTGCAAATAAAATTATATGACCATACATAAACTATGTTCCTTTTCTGACAGTGTGTTTTTAATGACATCTACATTAATTAAAAAACTCATGGCCAAAACTAAGAAGGCGAAAGAACTGAAATTCCTGCCTTTTCTCACTTTTTCCATGTCCCCATTACCTCTTTTACTGCCACCCCTCTTCACACGGATCCAAATCAACTTCTTGTTAACTCTGATTCTACCCAATCTTCTTGAATCACTTGGTCTTTAAATATTTGGTTCTTCATTTGCAGTCATGTCTCATCATGTCCCATTTTTTTCTCTCCATGAGAGTAGTGCTGGATTATAATATATGATAGGTGGAAAATAAATTTGGAGAATGTGAACCAGTGATGACATATAGACTCAATCATCAGAGGCATCCTTATAAAAAGTAATCCTATGTCACTGATGATTTGGCACAGCAGACAAGAGGCAGAATGAATTCCAATACAAAGCCGAAACAGATCTGCATGGTGTCATGGCCAAGGATAAAAACAAGACTTTCT